AAATATCTACTTTCATAGGGTTTTTTGATCTAATTTCCGTCCTACTAAGCACAACCCACGCTTTACCTCTCTTTCTTGAATGGATTTTAACAAATGAAATGTTTCTATCAAACATGACTACTAAATGTATCCCCCTTTCCATAATTACCGTTGAATTTTATAAAGATCCACACATTGTTGATGTATTGTTAAAAATCTAACACTGCTTCTTGATTCCAAATTCGTTCTACGAGTTTCAATTCCATCCAAGCGCATTGAAACGCCATTGGATTTTCTTCGTCCTACGAATGAAGATAGAAAAAGTGAGTTCGCTAGGAGCGCTTCTTTTGTTTTGAGAACAATGAGTGTAAATATTCACACATTAGGCTCTAATAGGTTTTTTGTTGTAGCTTGTGAACTAACGAAACGCTACAAAGTGACGATTACGAAGAAATAGCGATCGACCCTACCTGTTTTATTCGACATGGAGTGGGAGTTATTCCACCGACGGCATGTTTCATTTTTTTTTCTTGGATTTCGTAGAACTTCTATGAAGATCTTCAAACTATCCTGATGTTCTTTGAACTTGTTTGAAGATCGCAAAATTTCTCTGAATTTGACCAAAATTTTTATTGAAATTTGCAGATATTCCTTAAAGTTCACAGTTCTTTCCTAATGTTTTTACATTTTACCTGAGGTACACAGAATATCCTTAAAGTGTTCAGAACTTTCGTGCCGTTTGATGAACTTTCCTCAAGTTAGCAGAGCTGAATTCATGCTTAGAAAATATCGTGAGAATTCTCAGAACTTACCAGAAGAATTATGTACTTTACTGAAGCTCGCAAAACGTCCCTGGAGTTCGCAGAATTTTCCTGATGTTGTTTCAACTTCTCTAAAGATTGACATTTCCTTGTAGTTTACAGCACATTTCTTAAATTTTTAAGAACTTCTCTGAAATTTTAAGCACGTCTTTAAAGTTTGCAGAATTTTCTTGAAGCTTGTAGAACTTCCCTGAAGTTCAATGAGCTTCTCTCTGGTGGTTGTTGAACTTATTTGTTTTTTTTTTTTCTGGAGTTTGCTAGAATTTCCTGAACAAAAAGACAAGTAGCACCGTCTTCAACAAGAGGTTGTAAAGACTGAACTCTTAAACACTAGACAACGAACAACACACAACACCGAGTAGACCAGTAGGGAAATTTTCCTCCGGCTGGCGCAGCACTCACAATCAATATCAATGAAAAATAATTAATATCAATACTCACAAAATGCTGTATTTCACTAGCCACCTAATGTCAGTATCAGTTTATACAGTTTTAATATTACTATCGTTCACCTCAATGTCAGTGCGCAAACGACTTTGACATCGTAAAGGGACCACTGATATGTAAAATTCTACCGCAAATGCTTCTTATATACGCCAGGATATCGAGTACTGATCTTTATTGATCTTTATTGAGATAGAAGTAAGATTTTCAACTTTTTCCAAATGGCATGCATATGGATAGTTTAGCAAAACCATACGCCTGATATTATGCTAACTACAAATATCAGCAGCGGCGCCGGTGGTGTAGTGGTAAGCGTGATTTCCTCTCACTCCAGCAGGCCTGGGTTCAATCCCAGTCGGCGTCGCCGGGATGTTCTGAGGCATAACATCTCTGATCACGACTTCCTTCGGAAGGGAAGTAAAGCCGTTGGTCCCCGGTTCATGAGTTGATGGGTCGATAGGTAGGGTCCAGGTGTGGGAGCTGCCTCCCTGGCGTCGGTAGCATTGGTTCTCAGCACGGTATATCAGTGCCGGAAGTGAAATTCAGTTCTAACAATACGCTTAAACGACGGACGCCGCTAACCGCACGTCCCCGAAATTCATAATATTTTCCTAGAGTTCGGAGATCTTCGCTGATTTTCATAGAGCTTTCGTGGAATTTGTAACTAGTGTCTGTTCCCGGTAAGTTCTCAATAACAAGAGACCTCTCGATCTGGGTCTCAAGGTTGGCTTACTACTGGGCAATCGAAGGGGCTACGCGACCAAACGTGCAGAATACTGTCACCTGATTAACGTTATGGAAAAAATGCAACTGTGGTTCAAGATGGAAACATTTTATTGAGGACAACTATTGTTTGAGAGGGTTGGTTTATACTACTACTATTGTGTGTGTGGGTGTAAAGTGGATGGTTTATTATTGAAAAACGTACCGGTACTGCTGATGATGAATATGGACGGATTCGACGACGTTGGGCGAGCGCTCGCTGGACTCACTGTGCTACGAGTTCTGCTAAATTCGGTGTGGCGATCGTGGTCAAAGTTGGCTAAGTGGTGGTGTGAGGAAGCAGATTCGTTGGCGCGTGAAACCACTATAAGTCCTCCCATGCGTATTCCCTCATAGACTCACATCGGCATAGCCCAGGCAAGGCCGGAGTGACTCTGCCGAGAGGGGAACGTCTCCTTGGCGGTTAGGGAGGGTTCCCGAGACAAATTCCTTCTAGCCGATTATTTTTGGTCTGGCTTGAGGAAGGCTAGTTCCTTTGCTTCTAGACCTAGTTGCCCCTAGAGACTGCTAAGCCGGATCACGTGCGCGTCGGTTGATCTTGTCAACGGACAAAATGGCGGCGTGTACCAAACGATAATACAAAAGGTCCTGCGAGGGTATCGAATGGACGTTAGTTCAGCCGTTAGCTATAGTTCGGGCAGAGAACTATTTACCTGAATTGAGCTGTGGTGCAGCAAATTGTCACACTCGAATATTACCACTCACTACTGGCTATTTCAAGTACTTTAACTTTTCATCACCTTTCACACGTGAACGCCTGGATAACTATGAGGAATGGCACGTCGTTCGTACGCTATCTGACCTCTGTCCCTTCGCTTTTCCATCCCTCCATCCTATATCCCAATCAAAAAAAAAATCCTTTCTCCATTTTCCCGCCTGCATCTCCTTGTAGTAGTTGCACCCTCTGTACTGTAACCTATCTCCACTTTACTGTTATACAATTTAAAGTTTGAAAAATTCCCTACTACAATATTTTAATACATAATCTTTTAATAATCCTACTAACCAACACCAAATAACTCGTAAAAACGTGACAATACATTAAACAATTATGCTCAAATTAAAAATCATACAAATCTTGTAACAAATGGTTACAAATTTGTAGAACTTACGAATGCTCTAAAGCTCGCAGAATTTCCATGAAACTCACAAAAATATCCTGAAGTTCGTAGAACACCCCTAACGTTTGCAGAACTTTACTGAAGGTAAGAATTTCGTTTAGTTGAAAGAACTTGCCCATAAAATGAAGAACGTCCCAAAAGTTATCTGAACCCCTAAAATTATCTGAACCTCTATAAAGTCTGCAGAACTTCTCCGAAGTTTGCATAAGTTCCCTGGAGGACGCAGCACTTCATCGAAGTCCGTAGAGATTTTCTGCAGCAACTTTCCAGATATTTGCAAAATGTCCCTGAGGTTTGCAATACCTTTCTACAGTAAAATCTTTACTGAAGTTCATAAAACTGCACTGAAGTTTGCAGAACGTCATTTAAGTCTGAAAAAATTCCCTAAAGTTCACTGCAGTTCCTTGAAGTTCGCTTAACTTCTCTATAGTTCGCAGAATTTCCTTAAAAGTCGCAGAACTTGCTGAATGTTTCTTTTGTCAAATTATGAGAACTGTGGTGCAACTCTGTTGTTACTCAAAGTGAAGACTACCCAAACTCACTGGGCGAGAGTAGCTAACCTCATGTGAGTTTGAAAGGTTTGATTAAGGGAAAGGGGAAGTTATTATTTTTTTTTTTTTGGAAAATCCCTCACCATTCCTCAACTGATGAGTTTGGTAAAGGGGATGATCAACCCGATTCGTACCTTCCTCAAAATTGTCCTATGCTCGCTTTCTACTTTCTTTTACAATTTTCACACGGAACCATAAACTCTATACTTTCATCTCATCATCTATCGTATAAAATGTCCACTTAAATGATATTTGACTTTAAATATCTCCAGCTATGTAAATCTTAACTGCACACATGAAATAATAAAAACATGATTAGTTAAAGTATCTTTGGATACTTTTTTCCTACAAAATAAATCTGGACCTTCTGCTGAATTCTCATGAGGCCGAATGGTAATTGAACTGAATTGTCATTTGGTCGAATGATCATTAGGCCGAATGGACGCTGAATTTCGGAAAATTATTTCTTAACACTTGCAAAGAGCATTTGCTGGTCTGAAAAAGAGAGGAATCAGCAATTAATAGAAGGATAAATAAAGCTTTTCCACATTGGACTTAAAGTGCCACTAATTATTCCGTCTGATGTCAGGAAAAGAAGAAGAAGAAACTACCATAGAAATTCTTATCCGAAGTAAACTATCAGTCAGTCAAATGTAGTGCTTTGTTTGAAAGTCTCTTCAATAAATAAATCTAATTGATGTCTAATCTAATCTATGATTAGCTCATAAAATAAGGACAAATAATGTGATTGCATATTTTGTTCATGTACCCAAAATCCTACAAACAGTTAAACTCAAATGCACTGCACTGGTTTATAAAATGGAAATATACTATAATATGTTACATTTGGATTGTATACCAAACTGCCAAATCCTATTTTTCGAAAATTCAGTGGATATATTAAATTTCTTCAATATCGAAAAACAAAAATCCAGACCACATAAATTCGTGTGGGAAAACTAACCAGCAGAAGGAAAATGATTGTGATGGCATATTTTATTGGTGATATCAAACATCACAAAACCAATAAAATTAGAAAGAAGTGATTCCTAATCTTCTAATTGTTGTTCCCTAGTTTGAAGTAATTGATACTAGGGTCCTGATGCATGGTCAATATCGGTGTCATTCCTTGATTTTGTTGCTAAGAAATCCAATTTTGTCTGACAAAGGTTGCACCTTTGCAGGGTGCTCTAACTCTTCGAAGGGCATGAATAACGGGACCTGTCAATTAGAATCGGTTACTTGCGATGAAAAAAAAAACAACTGCATCAAAATCATTCAATTATGCTTCCATTTTCCAGATACCGGTAACCGGCAAACGAAATCACAGGAAACCAACACGATGACCAACGTTGGCACCGGGACATCGTCGACGGTGACGCAGAACCACGTTGGATCGCAAATCGGCCAGGATGAAGCCAACTCCAACATGGGCACCGGCCAACGAGCCGGCGAGGAAACCTCCAAATCCGAGGGAACCCAAGCCGGCGGAACACTGCAACAGACGGAACGTTCCACCAAGACGACTTCAACGGGAACGGGAACACGGACGAAGGACTTCAGCGATGACATGTCACGCGAACAACACGACATGCATCACAACATCATCAACAACAACCAGGCCGCCAGGAGGAATAAGTCCAAGAGCACCGAGGATATGAATGTCGGTAAGGATTTCGGTTAGTGGGTAGTTGTTGTTGTTTAAAAGGGGGAACACCTGTCCATCATACCCGACCTGTTTATTATGTTTGTGATCGGGACAGGCATATTGCGGCCATTTGGATGTCATTTCGATTTGAACTGAGTGACGGACGACTTTGCATTCTACTATTTTGCAGATACATCAACAATGAAGCGCATGCTGAAACCGATGCCGAGTGCGGAAAGCCCCGTGACATCGCCGGAAATGGGACGTCGACGTTACAATTACTATAACTCTGCAACCAACACACCACACACGCATCAACACGCTATTCACAATGCACATATGTTAAACAATAACGGCACCATCTCACGTAACGCTAGTCAAACTTCCCGCTTTTCCGGATCAAGGTAATTTTTATTTTCAATTCAATTGCTTGACACGGAATTGGATTGCAATTGGGGTGTCATTCTTCCAGATCGTCTCACGAAATTGGCAGAGGTCACCAGCACGGGTCTCGTGGACTATATCTGGAACTGGAGCGAGAGCGTAGCTGCGCCGAAGGTTCACCCCCATCGGATAACGTCATGTTCGATAACCAGTGCTACGCAACAACGCCCAGCTCGAGCAATGGTAATTCCGATCAAGATCAACCACCGTACGGACGGCAAGGTGGCGGCCGGCATTCACATCACCATCAAGTATTAGAGTTGCTGCAGTGTTTGTTCTTGAATTAATAATTTATTTGCCATGCGTTTCAGAATCCACCAAACGTAACACCCACGCCGGGTTCACCGACCTCTAGATTGCTGCTGGAGTACGAGATGCATCTGCGTAACACTCTGGCCAAGGGCATGGATGCCGAATCGTACAGTCTGCACACGTTCGAGGCATTGCTGTCGCAGAGCATGGAAAATCTGGAATTGGCCGAAAGCCTGCCGGGCTCCAACCAGCGGAGCCCATATCCCATTCGAAGAAGTAAGTAGATTAAATGATTGAACATGACTGCTCTGTGTAGTGACTAGCTCAGTGAAAGTTGTACTGAAAATTTGGGGCCTCAATAAAGGCGCAGCTACTAGACCATGCTGAATATGGTATGGTTCGATTCCTGGTCCGATCTAGGAATTTTTCGCGTTGGAAAATTTCTTGACTTCCCTGGACAATAGAGCATGATTGTACAATTATACTAATGCAAAACATGATACATGCATCGAAAGCTCCCAATCAATAACTGTGGAAGTGCATCTAGAACGCAATAAGCTAATATGCGATAAGCAATTAGCTTGATATGCAAAGAAGATGAAGATTTGCGTGATAAATTACCAATGAAAAGAACAAGATAAGTTACGAGTGAACTCGACTGACGAGAGGAACACTGGTAGTTCTAGAGAATTCAATTGAACTACAGCAATCCCTCCATACCGCATACATGGAGGGTGATACCGTCCACCCACCGCTATTTCTTGGTTTTCCTTCAACCAATTACGTTGATATTTTGTATGTGATTAGTGTCAACCAGAAACTAGTTATCTACAGAAAATCAGCTCAATTAGTTAAAGGTCAGCCGAGAAATAGCGATGGGTGGACGGTTCCACCCACCGCTTATATATGGAGGGAATACTGTGCTGTGCTTCTCGAAATAAAATATTCCTTTGAAACGGAAGTAAATCTATTGGTCTCGGCCCATTTGCTGATAGGTTCGATAAGTTCTATGTGTGGCACTCGTTTACCGTCAGCAATGATAAGTCACTCATTGGCAATTGATACTCGTCGATGATTGGCATTAGATTAACCTGTGAAGTATCAGGACGAACGAATTTTTGTTCAACTAACTCGTTCTCAGCAATGCCTCATCCGATTTTCATAAACTTGAATTTTTATTCAAGAGGAATAGTTGAACTAACTTTTGTAGTAGGTACCACCCCCTTAGAACACTCCTTGTTCTTGGGAGATGTAAATATGTCTGTGTTTTTTTGTTTGTACTTTTTTAACCAGTTTGACCAAATGTTTTAAATTTTCACGCGAATTGGATGTTTGGTGCAGCAAATGATATCAGATAGATGAAATATGATTAGTAATACTGAATTTAGATATTTCCATAATGTAATATCTCAGGCAAAAGTACCTGGTGGCATGTCAAATCATGTCAAATAGGTAGAATCAAGTGAATGAAGATGATTTGAGATGATTTTGGCCAGTTTGGCATCGGTTCCGGAACGCGAACGGTTTGTTGAAATATAATTTCAGGTTATGATATCATATTATGCCAAAATGACAAGCTATGATCAATGAAATCAGTTTGTAGTGTATCTGATGACATATGGGCACATTGGCATCGGTTCCGGGAAATCCGGTTTTATACCCCACAGTAACATTTGCGGATAACCCAACTAACAATTTCAGCTTTATAAGCTGACTTTTCCAGCTGTGTTGCTGTAAAGTAGCTGAAAAAAGCTGCAGATACAGTTAAAAGCAGAAGCTTGCAAAATGGAGAACACTTACTCAACTTTATCACAACCATTATTCAATTTTTTAGTTTCACTGAATAACAACAGCCAATAAACGCTAATGTCACTTCTATGCACATATTATTCAACTTTCAACTTGTAAAGCTCGATTCAAAGTAAATCTGGACGCACGGTTTAATACACCACTGCGCCCTTGGTGGTTGGAACAAAAAACGTTTGACAGGCATTTGTTGATGTTTCATTGACGAAGAAATTGGTGAAAAGTTTTTCTCGATTGATCGACGCATCCCGAAATTACGGATCATGGAACATGAGGGGGCCTCCCTTAGCTCAATCGGTAAAGGCGCAGCTACAAAGCAAGACCATGCTGGAGGTGGCTGGGTTCAATTCCCGGTCCGGTCTAGGAATTTTTCGGGTTGGAAAATTTCTCGACTTCCCTGGGCATAGAAGTATGATTGGACTTGCCACACAATTATACCAATGCAAAAATGGTACAGGCATCGAATGCTCTCAATCAATAACTGTGGAAGTGCATCTAGAACATTAAGTTGAGAGCACGCAATAAGCTAATATGCCATATGCAATAAGCTTAAAAAGCGAAGAAAAAGAAAGAAAAAGGAACATGAGAAAAAAATTAATTGTGCACATACATCTAGAGAACCCTTAGTGGTCTGCCTCAAAAATAGCAAAAGTGTTAAAATTCCTAAAGTCAACGGTGAGTCTTGTAATCAAACGTTACAAGGATACTCTGAGTGTGGATAGAGCACAGTGCATCTATCATTAAAGTGGCACTAGGGACAAAGAGCTGAGGAGAAAGGTGTTGAGGTACGTGAAAAGCAACCCAGGTGTCTCCATACGTGATTTGGCACAGAAATACGATTTCAACTTTTCCATCGTGCGTAACATCCTTTCAAGAGTATTTTTTTCCTTGATTTGTTTTCCGTCAATCTTGTTTTCCGTGCTTAGCACCAATGCTACCGACGCCAGGGAGGCAGCTCCCACACCTGGACCCTACCTATCGACCCATCAACTCATGAACCGGGGACCAACGGATTTACTTCCCATCCGAAGGAAGGCGTGATTAGAGATGTTATGCCTCTGACATTGAACCCAGGCCTGCTGGGGTGAGGGGTAATCACGCTTATCACTACACCACTGGCACCGCTATCCTTTCAAGAGTAGTATATAAGTCTTTTTGTGCCAGTAAACATCCGAATCGCTCTCTGAAACAAAATTTAGGAGCCAAAAAGCGAGCCCGATCACTATACGAACGAGTTTTGACGAAATTTGATGGCTGTATTTTAATTAATGACGAAACATGTCACAAAGGATTATTAACAAATCCCCGGACGAAAATTTTAACTGGCAACTGGTCGTGAGGATGTCCCTTCCAGGTATAAATTTGTTTTTGCTGATAAGTTTGCTCGGAAACTAATGATTTGGCAAGGAATCTGCAGTTGTGGCCTTAAAACCAAGGTTTTCATCACATCTCACAAAATGACGTCGAAGGTTTACATTAAAGAGTGTCTGAAAAAGCGGATTTTACCCTTCATTCGGCAACACAAGACCAACGTTATGTTTTGGCCTGATCTAGCCAGCTGCCACTAATCTAAGGAGGTACTAACATAGTATGCTACAAACAATGTTAATTTCGTCGCCAAAGAGATTAATCCTCCTAATTGTCCTGAGTTCAGACCGATCGAAAAACATTGGGCAATTGTCAAGCGAAAACTTCGAAGATGCGGTAAAGAAGTGACAAATGCACAACAAATGCGTTTAAAGTGGAATAAGTTCGCCGGTACAGTGTCACCAGCGACTGTGCAGATCATGATGGCAGCGATCACAAGTAAAGTGCGACAGTTCGTTCGAAACGGTGAAATGTAATAACTTGTTTTATATCGCTTGAAGGCATTCAGTCCTTTTCTTTGACGTTTTGATCAACCGCCCAAGTAACATTGCAGGTTTTATCGCGGTTTTATAACATTCTACAAGTATAAATCATGGTCTACAGAACCCTCATAAAACCAAAATTGTTACTTGGGCGTGTATGTTGTTTAATTATTGAGTTATGATCACTTGAATGCGTCCAAATTTACTTTTAATCGGGCTTTGGCTGCAAAACAAAACTAATAAAGTGAATATATTACTCATTGGATGGCTTCTACACAACCAACCATTCTTGTTGAATAACATAAACATCAAAAGTGATTTTTCAACTACTACACAACCTGTACTCAGCTAATAAACTGTGTTAGCGCTACTTTGGAAGCATTTTTACAGTCAACTAGGTTTATTTTTAGACGTGTGCAGTTTTATACCTTTTACTCCGCTCCTTTACAAATTTGAACTATCTAGGCGAGAAAAGTGATTCATGTGCACTGTTATAAAGCCTCTACTCAGCAATCCTGTTGTAGAAGATCATGTAAATTAGTTTACGTCAGTTCAAAGTGTTTGCTTAGCGAAGTTGGTAGTGTCATGATTTGCCAATGCGGTCGTCTTGAGTGTGAGTCCAGGTTCCGGTGCAGGGTAACACATTGGTGGTGTTCTCAAAGCTAATTTCGAGTAATTTGATTCGCAGCTAAATAAAGACAATGAATTCCTTCACAAAAAAATGCGCAAACAATATTTAACCCGGCTTCAAAATAAAGCTTGTGTAATTATTTTCGGATAATCGGGAAAAGGTTGAATAAGCGCCTTTCAAGTTCACTCACAAGTAAACAGCAGAATAACAGCTGTATAGAAGCGTAAATGGATATGCAATAAGAGCTTGTCAGAACCGTCCCAACAGCCATAAGTAGCTGACTAAGTTCGCCAGATTTGCTTGTATAGAGGTTGAGTAAAGGTTACCTCATATCGTATAGCATTTGAATACAGCTTGAGGCTGAATAAACTATATGAGCAAAGCGTTTATATTGTGAAAAATGTTAGTTGAGAAGGTCAATAAAGATAATTTGTGGTGTTTTCTTTGGCATATGGTCACATTGGCATCGATTACGGGATTCCGAATTCCATTTCATAGATTCCGGAATACGATACGGTAAGGTATAATCATATTTATGAAAACCATATCATGTGGTGGTTTCAATCACGACAAAAAATAGATATGCCTAATGAAAACAGTTTGAGATGACATCCTGTGATACTGAAACCCAGTTCTTTATGCCATAGTGATATATGAGGCAAATGAATCACTTTTTTTTTCTCTGCTTGGAACCTAACACTACTGCGACCAGTAAATTAATCTATTATAGTATATCCCGTGCCCTTAGTTTAGTGCATGTCGTATTACTCCATCATTATTGAGAAATGATGAAGTATTCTATTTTTTTACAGTTGCCACTCTTGCATTTATCGCAAGTATCCGACTCTAATTGAAAGGTTCCGCTATTTATACCCTTCGGAGTGTAGAAACACCCTCCAAAGGTGCGCCCCTTTGTCAGTCAAAATTGGATTCCTTAGCAACAAAATTAAACAATGACACCGATAATGACCATGCATCAGAGCCCTAGT